TATCTGCTGGTTCTATCAAAAGCGTGGATTGGTGGTCAACAATCATAAGTCTCCAGTGCCCAGACCTCTGCAGGGCACATGCTGCCCTGGCACCTTTCTTTAGTAGAGGGTGAAAAGTACATATTACCTCAAATTAGCTTATGGTCCTTTAAACTAAGTGGTGAATATTTTTCCAATTACCTTTTCTTCTACTCGTCACAGCAACAATGTAAAACTATGATAACCAGCGCAAAGTATTTTCTTCATGGCATGAAAAATGTTCAGCCTTAACCTATTCATGTGTCATTTTCTGCTGGACTTTGTGTCCAGCAGTGGTAGCAGAGAGTTCCTGTGTTGCATGACATCTGAGAATGCGTCAAAAGAAAAATGAACAGGAAAACTCCCTCTGTTAGGAGGCGGGGGGAGGGGGGAGGGGAGGAAAAAAAAAGGGGGGGAAAAGTATCTGTTACATTCCAAAATCAGTCATAATAATGGAAGTTCACTTCGAAAAATTGCCAGAGTCAGAATGGACAAACATCTGGCTTATTCATCCCTAGCTATACTAACAAAAATATGATATCCTGTTAGAAAAATCACTGATCATCCTAGTTTATTTTGGCAGTTTTGCACCTTGGTATTTTTCCCTTAAATAAGAATGTATCAGTATTTTACAGCTAGCATGCCTCCAGCTCCAGGTTCACAGTTCATGTGCTTCTGTGACTTTGAACTCTTCTTTTCCTGAGTTTACCAGCAGACAGCTGCACCAGAACAGAGATGTTTACATGTGGGGAGTAAATGGCAACTTGCAGCTCAGATTTTCCATTTCCTTTTACATTGTTCAGGAATCCAGGCTCACAATTTGTGTCCTAAAGCTTTGCATCTGACTTGGCCTTTCATAGTACAAATGTTTTATTTTGACATTGATTTATTGATAGAAAGGGCTGACTAGGGAGAAGGTACTTTCACTAGAAATTACCCTCAGTATACTCGAAGTTCAATTGTGGGTAAAATAGGTTTTTAAGAAATACTCTAAACATCACTTTCTGTAAGGCTTTCAAGCACTATGTAAATGTGGAACCACTTTATGCAGCTTCAGCACAATAGATGTGTTTTTAGATGGAGAAAATTAATTTTTTTTTATTAAGAATAATGGTGAAATCTATTATCTGCTTAAACCATGACACTGTCTATTTAAGCTACTGTCATGTGTAGGTGGTTCACAGATGTGCTTGGCAAGGCAGTAATTACATGAAGGAGGTTGTGATAATTATAAACAAAAAAGCATCAGGATGATATGTTCATTTGCCTGAACCCTGAAGTGGAATTACAGACTCCAGTGAAGAGTTTGTTCTGTCTTTACACCACCCGACAGACTTCTCTCTATTGCCTAATTTCCCATTTATGGGCTTTTCCTTTCCCTTTTGTACCTAATTTTGATATTTTGGGTTCAGGCTCTGAATGAAAACAAATGATGATTTTGTAGCAAGAGTGAGTGAAGCAGATGTCATGTAAGTGATCTATACAAAGACCTATAGTAATTGTGTGTTGTGTTTTGCCTGCTGTTGTTTTGAAACGAGATTCCATGGTTAGTTACCCTGATGTGTTAGAACATGCTAGCTTTTGGTCACCCTGCATGAAAGTTTGATAAGAACAAATTATTTGACCTTATTTGATCATTTTGGTGCAGTTTACTTCTGATACATATGTTTATTAGTTGCTAGGTTTGACCTATGGCCCACTATTAAAAGTAATGTAATGGGAGTGCACTGCTGATACATGAAACTTTAATTTTTTATCTTCATTCCCAATGTTCCTTATGATACTTGGGCTTTAAAATCAAAGTATAAAATGAAAGAGCAGATTATTTGTAGAATTACGTTTTGTTCTTTGTATCACCACACAGTGAGAGGATCTTGAGAGCCCTGCTTACTGAAAATTACATCCAGAAAAGAATCTTTTAGAACTTGTCCAGATCATCATCGAGTCTTGGTGGTGCAAAAAGGGGATTCAGAATGCAAAGCAGGGCCTGCAAGTGTAGTATCCCTGATCAGAGTCTGCATATGTTTACCATGGGGTTGTGTTCTTAGGCTGGCAATGCAAATACCTGTGTATTTTCTGTGAGCTCGCTGAAGGCAAATCAGTTACCTCTTTACTTTTCAGTAGAGCTGCTTTAGAACTCCATTTGTGCCTGGGAAATAAAAGCAAGCAGTTAACATCATGCTGATATCTATTACAAACCCCCTACCTGCTGGCAGGGCAGCAGCCCAGGTAGCCGTGATTCATGGGGGTGGAAAAAGGCCACTTGGCAGGGGACAGGATAAACATCCAGGGAGCAGGGGAGCTGAAGCTGGGCAAAAACTGTGTAGGCAGGTAGCAGTGGTTGTGTTATAAACTTTTCTTCAGCTGAGGTAGAGCAGATCACAACTGCTTAAGCAGAGGTTTGTTACCCAAAATCTGTGTCAGGTAACCTGCAATTTATAATTGTCATGTGTTGACAAAGTATATATGAGAAATCATAACTGAAATAAATGGCCCAGTTTCTGTTACTACATTTAAAGTGATTAGCTGGTTTATCTCATGATTTCTAAATGTAGACTAGCTTGAAACTTCCTATTCATAGTCTGTGTTCTTCATTGACGCTTTCATTTGAAAGCAGGAAACAATCTGAAAGTAATTTTATCAAGTGTTTCAGCACAAAGATTTAAAATTATAATAGCTTGGCATATTCTATCTTCTTACTATTCCTTGGAGGAAATAAAATGGAGTTGCAACTTTCATCCAGGCAGCTTTTCTACTACATCCTGTTTCCTTCCGCACACTGGAGAAAGCACTGACGTCTCCCTTTCCTCTGCTTCCAATGAAAAAATTCCATTCCCCATGTTGTAGCACACGCTCCGGTGATAGCTGGTGTTGTGTTAGCTTTTCAGACGTCGATACAGTATTTGGGTTGTTTAGGCAAATGCACAATTTGCCCTCCCTATCAAAGGAAAGCACTGCAAAGAACAGACGAATATGCACAGCTGCTCAGATAGGTGGCCTCCCCATAGCTCTCCTGGCCATTTGCCATGGCTGCCTACACCGTCCAAAGGGTGTCTTGTACCTCCCCGAGAGAACCATGAAGTACTGTGTGAGCAGTTGCTGTATTTACTGGAAGGCTGACATCTCTGCTTTTCTCCCAGTGAAAGGCAGAGTTGCAATCCCCCTTTCTCTAAGGAAAATTGACCCTTGAAAAGGCTTGGCATGAAATGGATTAACTCCCTGGAAACTTTGTTTGGAAATCTTAGGAGACTGCTATGTATATACGCTGGCAGTCTCTGGAAGAGACTATTTTCCCACCCTCTCAAGCACTTGGTAGTTTATCTGTTGTTTATATTAAGGATTGATCATGGTTATATATTCCTGATTCAGAGTTCTCATTAATCACCCTATGCCACATAAGACTGGAGAACAAGAATAAGGGTTACTGGAAAGCAGAAATGTGATCCCTGGCTCTACTTTTAATATGACTTATCCTGACATCAGCTTTGCTCTTATGAATTACTGTGTTTGTGTAAACCTCCTTTTTTTTTTTTTTTTCTGTTTTTCTCAGGGCTATTCAGAAAAAAAAATTATATACTTATTACAGTGATTTAGGAGAATGTTAATCATGATACTTGCCACGATACTATTTCAAGAGATCGCTGCCCCCCTCACCACCCCCTTGTTTGCTAACGCTTGCTTCCTCTCCCAGCCCCAGCAGCCATTTCCTCCCTCAGAGCATATCCACGCAGGCAGTTGTTTAGGCCTGTGCAAAATGAAGAAGAGGTGGAAAAAGACCAGTGGGGTGAGGACAAATGCCCAAAGGCTGTGACTTCCTAAAGTGCGTCAGCTGCCAACAGAGAGATACTTTCTGCCACAGCAACAGAGCAGATCTGTACCTCCTCCTCCTTGACCCTACTGAAGGTTTCCGATTCTGAAATGTTCAATCAGCTTGATTGAACAAATTGATTATGAGGGTTATAAGAACACGTTACCAGCCCTGCTTGGAGTCAAGTTGAGAAGCCTCTGGAGCAAGTGTTTTCCCACTCTGACTTGTCAGCCTGAAAGTCCCTTCACATCTTTCAGAGGCATCATGAATTGAGCCCAATTCATTAGCGTGTTCTGGTGGGAAATTGTTGCATTGGCAAATTTTCAACCAATGGGAGATTTAATCCCTTGAATTTTTTTTAATTTGCTTTGTGCTTGTGTTTGTCTAATAAAAAGAAATTATTTGGATTTTAAAAGAAGTAATTGAAATAATTTATGTGTGAGAAATCAGAGAAAATTCTCTCTGAAGAGACTGATACAACTTAATACAGATGATTTTCTCTTTATTTGTAGCTCCACTAAAAATACTTTGCCAGGTGTATCCTAATTCTGGACAGATTTTTCTCTTGAGTCATGTTACATTCATGTGTGCCTTCTTTGGTGCAAAATCCCATTATTAAATTCACTGTTTAACAGCATATTCAATACTGTGACTGTAACTGCTGGTTTGTGTCTATAATTAAACAGTCTCTCCACAAAAGCAAGAGATGACCGGAAGTTCTGCAAACTTAGAAGAATTTGGGTCCAGTAGTTGTGATGAAAACACATCTTTAGTGAAATCGAAGGAGGATAAGTAATATAGGAAAATCTTAAATCTGTGAGAATTTGCAAACATTTCAAATGTAGTTGCACAGAAACAGTGATTTTAGAGGACTAGATTTTTTTAAATACTTTGATTCAAACTAATTTAGATTGCTTGGATTTTTTTCCCCCCCATGTGACTACTTTTGATGACATATTGTACATATCAAGAATAAGAGAACTTATTTCTGAGTTGGGAATAGATTTTTAATCAGACTCAGTAATGTAAATAGACCTCTATTTGAAAGGTCGTTCAAAACTGAATACTGGTGTATATTTAAGTGCACTGTATGCTAAAGGAGAAATATCCCCCAGTGTTTAAGCAAAAGCATGTTTAATGTGCGGTTTTGTTTTGTTTTTTTAATGTTTAACAGTAACTGAAGCTGGCTTTGGTGCTGACATTGGGATGGAGAAATTCTTCAACATCAAATGCAGAGCGTCTGGCTTGTTTCCCAATGTGGTTGTACTTGTTGCAACAGTGAGGGCTTTGAAGATGCATGGAGGTGGGCCAAATGTAAGTTTTTGCACCTTTCTTGGAAAATAAAATTGTTGCTAATATTTGAAATAAGTAAAATATCTTGATTTAAGAAATATTTTGGGTAGCCTATGGGGCAGTATTTCGATAACCCTTTTGAGATACCTCATTATATAGATGTAAACTCTAAAGTTAATGCAGGAAAGGCACAAATGAAAGAAGAGGGACGAAAGAGCTCTGAAGAAGTACTGTATCTTCCCGAGCTAGGAAAGTTTGTTCACATGAAAAAAAAAAAGCTATAAGAGATAAATTTCTATATTCTTTTTCCTGCCTTTTGAAATAGCATTATAAAGTGCATTGAAGTAGTCACAGGCTGGGAAATTTGGCAGCTGAGGAGGAATGAGATTGAATTCGGGTTGCACTGTGTGAGTGGAAGTAGAGAACACTGTTAGTGAAGGTTTTGAGATTTCTTTCACGCCATTAATGGGTACTCATTACCCCTTCTGTCCTTTTATTTTGCTCAAGTTAATTTCCTCAGAGATGCTGAAGTAACTGATAAAATTTTGCAAATGTTTTCCTGGTATACCAAAAGTCACCAGTGTATCCTTTTTTGCTATTTAAGCCACAAAGAGACTTTTACCAATTACTGATTGTAGAAGTGCTCCTCAATTGTGCAGTCAGATCAGACTCTCCTAGCCAGCTCTGCTGGCCAAGTAGACAGACACTGAAATTAACTCCTGAAAACACTTTCATCTGCCCAGCAGCATGCTAGAGAGTGATGCTGCCAGGGAAACAGTCTCACTGGGTGAAAATACCAGAGCTGTTTCCACAGCCACAAAATTTTGGAATGCATGGTCTCCCTTACAGCAAAACATCTCTAAGAGTGAAAGCTGAGCTGTCCTTTTTCAGTCTTTCAGGTTGATATAATTACAGGACTTTCTGTCATTTTAGTCCACTTCTAATGCACCTTTTCTTTATTTTTAATTACATTCCTCCATTCCTTACAAGGCAGGCATATTGTCACATGTGCTACCATTCAATCTAGCAAAAATAGGACTTAAATATGTCTTAGTAACTGTTTCTATTTTTGTCTGAGTTGCATCTTTAGAAGTTTAAAGCTTTTGTTTGTTTACAAATGCAATGCATTCATCACAGAGGCATGTAGAGTACCAGATACTTTTACTGGGAGGTTAACTATAAACTGGACCAGTACTAGAAACAAAAGTGAGTAAGTCCAGTGCCTGGGATTGATGTATGTAGTCCTTGGAGACTCAATGTAGTATCCTGGTGATACTCTTTGCATGTATACCTTTGTGCTTTCCAGCAAAGTAAATTACTTGCATGCAGTTCCTTGCCACAGGCAGTGATAACAGGACACTAAAAGATGATGTTCCTCTTCTAGTCATCTGTGTTGCTGTTATTTCTTCAGCCAGCTGTTGGAGGTTGCTGTCTGTTGTCTTTGTACTGCTGATATCCTGTAACAACATGTAGAATGAAATCCAATTACCTCTCCTTTACTGTCTTTTGCAACTAGTTGCGGCATCTTGCTACCCAAATGCAATGGGAAATGTTGGTATTCTTTGTGTACTGGTGAAATAAAACAGAAGCTGCAGACAGGCTATCATGTTGTATGCCATATGTGTGTTGTCAGTATAGAAAGTAGGCAGAAGTGCATTTCCAGACCCTCTAGGGTTATGACAAGTGTCAATTCGTGATGATTTTTTTTATCATCCCAGGTAACTGCTGGTGCCCCCTTGAAGAAAGAATACACAGAAGAGGTAAGTGGATCGGTTATAAAAATTAGGAGAGGTTTGTTTAAAGGAACAAAATTATGTGGTGTAGGGAGAATCAGAACTTCTTGTTCCTCTGGCTGGATAGCGTGAAGCTTCAGGTTTGACAGTAGCACGCTCTAATGCTGACATTCAGTGAGCATCTTTAGTAGGCAATGCCAACAAGTAGAGCCATCTCATCCTCCTTCAGCCCCATTCTGTTATCCCTCTTGGATGTGTTATTTGTGTGACTGCATGATGGATTGTAGAGAGGAACTGAGCAAGCTGAAAAATAACCTTTTTTCAGTAGTTTTTCTGGGACCACTAAGTTTTCAGATTGATCAGCATACAGGCTGATCATACAGAAGAAAGAGAGCAGAGTGATGTAGGTGTCAAAAACATTCCCTGAAACTAATGATAGCATAATCTGTTCGTTAAACAACTTGAATCTCTGTTTCATGTTTGGGATTGAATGTCATTCTTCAAACAAGTGTGAGTTCTCCTGGTTTGTTTTCTTCATCACTTCACTGTAGCCAAATTCTGGTCGTCTTCTTGTATGAAGCTAAGGATATGTGTTTTGTTGCAATTAAGGTCCACAAAGTGTGAGGTAAAAGAGTAAATAAGGAAATCCAGTAATGTGCTTTTATCTGGGATATGTATGTATATATAGATTAAACTACGTATCTAACACATCTGTATGTCAATCCCCACCCCACTACTGTAGCTTTACAAACTTTGCAAGTAAGAGACTAACAGCTCCTTCACAATCATGACAAGCAACCTGTCATCAGCCATACCATCTTCTGATGTCCCAGAAGAGCACAGTGGTTTCATGCAGAAACTTTGTACACTGCTAGTTACTTAAATATGTCTGTTGCTTATTAGTTGAAATAAAAATTAATAAGGGCAAAAATTCTTTTGTCTGGAAGCTTTTCACTTAACCTGCAACTGTCATGATCAACACTGTTTTGTTCACTTTAACTTAAGGAAAATTCTTTGGCTGGAGAAGACTTTATGTATGTTACCATTTCCATTAATTTTTATTTAATTGCACAGAACCTCCAGCTGGTAGCTGATGGCTGCTGTAATCTGCAGAAACAGATTCAAATTACTCAGCTCTTTGGAGTTCCTGTTGTGGTTGCTCTAAACGTCTTCAAGTAAGTCTATTCTTTGATTACTCTTGTGAGTAAATACACAGTTCAAATTTCCCACTTTTCTTGGTTTTTAAATTGATGAATTTTGGCATAAAAGAAAGAAGTTGTTGAAAATTTTCCATTTTTCATCATGAATATAAAGATATTTAACTCCTTAGCTTGTTCTTAAGGTTTTAAAACCAACAAAAAGTATGTACTATAATGGAACGGATAATCTTCCATGTTAATTAGCTATAACAATTACAAAGAGTTTTCTTGTAACATTTAAATACATATACTGTGTATAAATGCATTATGTATATGGCACAATTTCTATATAGACTTGCTTTACTATTGCTGGTGGTGGAATAAGGCTAGGTTTATAAGGTTATAAAAGAGAACTAATTAAACAAAATAATGAGATGGAACTGTTTGCTTGGCAGAACTGACTCTCCTGCTGAGGTTGATCTTGTGTGTAAGATTGCAAAGGAGTCTGGAGCATTTGATGCTGTACCCTGCAATCACTGGTCAGCTGGTGGTAGAGGAGCAGTACAATTAGCTCAAGCTGTGGAAAAGGCGGCCAGTCAGAAAAACAGTTTCAAATATCTCTACAGCTTGGAGGTAAGAATTTATTTTTTTTTTAAATGAAAGGATTCTGCATCAGAATCAGAGTTAAAACAAGAAGAACATTGCAACAGTTATCCAATATACTTGGAAAGGAACTTGCTTTGGTTTAAAATCGCAAAAGCGGCAGAGAACAATCTGTGGCTTGTCTAATGAGAGAGCAGGATACTTGCTGGTAATGATTGTTGTTTAGTGCTCTGAATGTGATGGGTATTGCACCACGTTGTGGCTTCCTGAAGCGTTTACTCTCTGTATGAGAAGGACGTAACAGGTAGTATGTCCTCACTCATCCTGCATGTCTGCCCAGCCGAGTCAACACAGAGAAAAAGCACTGCCTTTAGCAGCACCTGCTTACACAACCCAGTTCTCAGATGAACCTGAAGAGCAGAGGTGACCCAGTCCTGTTCCTTCTCTCCTGATGATCAGATTGGAGTCTGCTAGTACAATATGGCACACACAATATGTGGGTCACTGCTGCTGTTGGCCTTAAATCCTCAGTCTACCCAGGGACAGCTCCCAGTCCCCTTGCCTTGCTCCAGCTGATGGCACCAGAGTCCACAAGCCCCTGCGTTTCATGGCTCACTCCAGCTGCTGGCAGTCGGTCATTTCTTCCTGCTCTCTAATGCTCGAACATACAGATCTAGAGCAGAGAGCACACCCCCACAGAAGGGAGTCAGAAATCAGATTTAATGAGAACAGAGTATAGACTGTGGTCCTTGAGCGAAGAGCTCAGCTAGTCAGACTGCTGACAAGGCAGACACCTTTACACCCAACTGGCACCTTCTTCCTCATTTCACTTATTTTTTCCCTACACTTGTTCCTTTTCGATCCACCTTGATTACTCCCTTTCCCCATCTTTGCTCCTTGTACTAAACAATCTTTACACGTTCCCATGATCCCCTTCAAAAATCACATCATAAGGTTTACACCATCTCAAAATCCGCTTGTTCATACATCCCATAGAGTCATGTGCTGCTGTAGGCAATCACTTCCTTTCATTTACGAAGTTTTCTGATCAAAGAGTCTCCCCAATGATTCACCTTGGTGCATTTCACACCAAGGACAGTAGTCTCATCTTCCCCTTGGATAGGAAACAGGCAGTTCAAAGTGCTCTACTTTTCACTGATTAGGTTTTTTCACCGATTACATTACTAGGGTTCCTCCACCTATCATTGTTTCTCTGATGCTTCCTGGGGCTTTTGTGTCTAATTTGCTTAGCCAGTTAGATAACCTAACAAATGATAGTGTGATCCAAGTTTCAGTCTCATGTCTGCCAGAGGTAGTGACTCCTTTTTCCATGTCTTGGAGACTGTTATTTCAGTTGTCTGCAAGGTAACATTGCAGCATTGTGAGCTGTTAAGAGGAGTAGCTTACAAAGAAGGGCTGCTTGGGCTCCTGGAAGCTCCATGCTGGAGTACCACCGTGGTGGCAGAACATTTGGAGAGGGACATATTGCCAAAAATGTCATTTCTCAGGATCTTCCTAGCCATCCAAATGTGGGTGGGTTTAAATCCGGGCAGCCAAACAGACTTCTCTGGCTCCAAGGCTTTGGAGCCAATTTGACAAGGGCTGTCAGATTTCAGATCCTTTGTCTTAATTGACTGTACTGCTTAAGTTTCTTTAGAAAAGGTTTGAATTATATTTTTTAACAAAAGAACCTCAGTTTCATTCTTTTAAATGGCTGAAGGTTCCTGTTTTGAGTCTCCTCTCGAGGAAAAAGTTCAACTTGAGGTAGATATGACCTACTGTTGTCTTTCATTCTCCCCTCTCCTTGATATGTACCCTGTATCTGTTGCACCCATTTTATTTCTTCTTTCTGTGTCCCCCGCTGTTTTTCAAAATGTCAGTAATCCAGACAACTCCTATCAATATTAATCAGTGCCTTGACAGAATAGAGGGAAATATGTTGGGAATATTAGTGCTGCTGCATCTACTCAAGGCATTTTGCCCATGCAACTTTCTTACAGCTAAAATATGAGCAATGTATCTTCCTTTCTAAGTTTGTCTCTTCTGAAGTGCTCTGGAAACTGAAACTATCATCTTATGGGGCTTGTGTAATAACACAGAGAAAAAAATTCTTTGAGAAATATAGGCAATAGTTTTACCCACTGGACACTTGTCTTACAGAGATAGCACATTAGCATTGGCCAAGTCACATCCTTAGGCTCTGATGTTACTATATACCGTGTAGTTTATAATCTTGTGGTATGAATGAGTATAAAGAATTGGTAAGGATGGACTCTAAGTCTAAAGAAAATGAGATTGGTTTCTACTTTAATGTCTTTCCCAGGCACACCATTTCATGCTATGTTGCATAAACAGCATGATCTTAAGCACAAAGGGAATGAATCACAACTTTACATCAACTTAATATCCCATAACTTCAGAAAAGTATTATAATCCTCAAAAATATATTGAAGGGATTTTATAAAAACATATAAAGATTTTTAAATACTGTAAAGAAAGTAAATTCAGGCCAACAAAAACAGTAAAGTTCAGGCTTCTGTTTCATTCTTAATGTGCAAAGGATGGGGAATGAAGCAGTTGGAGCAGGAGAGTGAAACAGCAATGCTGTCACTTGTACAGTATGTAGGTCAGTTGGTTACTAGGCTCACAGAGAAGTGAAGGAAAGCCACCTCACCCAAATGAGCCTGCCCAGATATTAATCAAGATTGTAATAAGATTTTTTTTGGAGGTGACTTCTACTCTTTAAAGGGATAAATTTAAGAAATTTAAGAAAGATAAGAGGTATTAAAGTGGTATTCAGGCAGATGATTTTCCCCTATCGTTTTGCCTAAAGGGGGTGTAAGTGAAAGGACATAATTCTATCCCTCATCTGACTGCTAGATTTGTCCAGTTACTTGAACACTATTATGTTCTGGTTGCCTCAAGTTTGAAGGGATTTGAGCTGTGGTTGGCTTTTTTCTTGTTTTCTTTCCCCTTCAGAAGGTCAAAGAGGGGAAATGCTCTGTATAAAACCACTACCATGTCATTCATATATCAGTCTGTCTTTATGAAATTACTCTTCCTTTTACTATGTCTCCATTTAATCCTTTGTCTGTGCACCTTGTTTTCATGTCTGGAAAACTAAATCAGAATTTGCTTCTAAAACTGGCTGTAATTAGAACAACTTCCAACAGCACAGACCACTATGGCCAAAACAGGTTCATTCAATAATTTGATGTTTTGTTAGAAAGCATCACCCCGGCTTTAAAAAAAAAAAAATTAAACCCCCTATATGTAAAACTGATTTATATCCTTTTTAACTGCTTAGAATAAAGTTTGCAGTAGACTGTGTTATTAGTATACAGTCAGAGATTTAATTAGAGGATAGTCCAGGTCAAGTGTGCTCTCTTAGTTTTGTTTTTTTCCAAATGGCATGCATCTCTCCAGTGCTTTATGTAATTTCCAAATTTATCTCTGCAAACAAAGGCTTCCTTGAAAGGTTTAATGTATATAATGTGAGAAGAACAAGAAAGTATTTTTTAGATCTGTTAAATGCTGGTAAAAAGTTGAAGATTAGCTTTTTTATTATTATTTCTGAATCCTGAGGTATGGTTATACATTTATACCATTTTTGTGATGTCCAAGCATGCACTGAATGAGCAGTTTTAGACATTGGACACAACACAGTTGTGTCAGTTCAGGACTCAGGCTCTCCTAAGCTGTCCTGTTCAGTATCATAGCAAGCTAGTCTAATTGTAAGACTGTGCTAATTATATTCCTTGAAGCATCTGTTTTGGTCTGTTTAAATTCCCTTGGGTTTAGCTCCATGACACAGTGTTCTATAGTCCCACTTTTAGATAGCTTTTCAGGTTCTCTTTATTTATTTCTCTAAGCAGGCAAGCTAGCATTTTTTTATTTTTTTTTTTTTAATCAAGTGGCTGATGCTTGTAGTTTGTCTTTTTTTTTTGGTCTTGATTCTAGCAAGGATTTCTTTGACATATGCTATTTGATGAACAAATATTTTTCAGGAGTTGAAATGAGAATAGAATAGCTCATACATGTTTCTGGGAATCTGTATCTGTACCAGTGTAGTTTCATAGATGGAGTACAAGATGTGACCTTTGACAAGTATAGACAGCACCGTTGCCGCCATAGAAATGTAAGAAAATGACATAAACAGTTACAGTGTACCATGAAATGCTTACAGTATTAGGAATTGCATGGGATGAGGTGGGTAGTTCAGAGCAAGGATGAGTTTTCATATGATAGGCTCCAGAGTTTATAACGTAGTTTAAAAGATTACTGGCAGTAATTGAAATAAATGCTACAGTATTGTGTGGGTTTAGTATGGATTTTTGTCCCCTCTGCACAATAACCGCTCTTAATTTACTGTTGAGTTGTTTTCTTGCAGAGTATTTCCCTTCAGTGCTTCAAGGATGGGTTTTTTTTAAAGGCCTTGTGAACTCTCTATGAAATAGTCTGTGGTGGTTATTTTAACATATATTCATGCTACATATGGAAAATATCAAAATATCAACCCTCTTATCACTGTTGACTTCCCTTCTGGGTTCACTTTCCTTGAAGTATGGGTCTGTAAGTTGCAGCAGAAAGCTATTACTCAAAATAACGTTGACTGACCCATTAAAAGTAAGTTTAGATAACATGGGGGAGGAAAGGAGAGGATGGAAACATACGCATCCCATTCCCAAATTTCTCTGGCCACTCTTGAGTGGGCCAGGGGTTGCTTGCCTGTTGAGTAACCTGCCTTCTTCCACTATCCTGGTCTTTTTTCTCTTGCGGTGAACTCTTCCCTGACTTACAGGAGCCCTCTTCAACCTGGGGCAGGAAACATAGGTCTGAAAGAAAGCAGACATTAGGTTTTTAAGAGTTACATTGCCCCTTCCTGCAAGGCAGCTGTAGTGCAGTGGGCTCAGGAGATGGAAAAGAAGAGAAAGATAAGCATATGGCATGAGGCTAAATCAGCATATCTGGCTGGTCAACAAGTTAGCATTGTCCTCTTAAAAGAATGACACGGTAACATGACAAGTATT